GAGAGAGAGAGAGAGAGAGAGAGAGAGAGAGAGAGAGAGAGAGAGAGAGAGAGAGAGAGAGAGCGCATACCGGAAAGAGGCTGAGAGCGAGCAGAACCGCCGGCAAGGTCCCCTCTGACCCGACGCGATGGCAAACGACTCGATGTAAGAAGCGGAGCCTGATTTATAGGCGGTCGATGGCTGCGTTGCGCATAAGGCAAGATCTTCTTCCGCTCGCTGACTCGCTCGGCTTCGCCAGTTCAGCTTCAGCACTCGACTTCGACTTGCGCGGGGAAAGCTCGAGTCTGCCGTCGTGCGTCCTCTATGCTTCTAGTACACACGTCGTACATCGTGCATCGAGACGCTTCCGAGCGACCGAGCTTATGCCAACCTGCCATATTGGGAGCCGGAGGATGGTTCGGCAAGACCTTTGCCTCCGGGTCTTCTCGCTCCGGTCGACCCGACCTACGACTTCGGAGCGCATCGAACGAGCGATTCGATTTGTGGCTGTACAATGATTAATAAACGATTGTAGGAGTGACGCGCGCGCCCTGACGTCACTCAACGATCAGTGCGCATGCGCGCACGTTGAAACGTTTCTTACCGCGCGCGGCGGCTGCGCCTGCGTCCGGCCGCGTTTACATTAATGTATGAGGCCAATCGTAAAACTTGATGTGTACATACGTCTCGATCGAAGAGCGGCTGGATTTTCTCGGGCAATAAAAAAAATCCGAACATGTCCCGATGCCCCGTATCGACGACCCCCGTCAGGAAGGAAACGAGAACGGGTGTCCTCCTCGATGTAAGTCAGGACGGGACCCTCGAGTCAGGGGCTTCCCCGACGGAAGTCCGAGGACCTCAGCAGCACACGGGGAACCCCCCGAAGAAAGAAATTCGGATTTTGTTAGACGCTCGTACAGATTTGTTGCGTCATCGTCATCGCAAAGAGTCTGCGCGTCGCCTCGCTGCCGCGCATGCGCAGTGCGCACACTCTCCCACGTGCGTGTGTACATAGGTTGTACCTGGTGTATCTAAGGAGATACGTCGGAGGAGCCTGTGGAAGAGGTCGACCGAGAGGTCGCTCGGTAAATTGGTCGCCGCTGCGTTACCGTTGATCTACGGCAACAGACGCGATAGTTATGGAAAGGTTACCGCGTTCGATAAAGCGGCTGTGTCCTAAGAAATCCAGGAGAGAATCGTAAATCGCCTGGTGGCACTCGGGACCGATATAAAAATATTCCGAAGAGCGACGCACGCTCGTGCCAATCCCGAGCCAATCCGTAGCCGCGAAAGGACTCTCGACCCTCTCGCCACTCTCGATTTCCCTGGATCGATGTCGGCATTATTATGTCAGTGGAGCACGTGTCTTCCTCCCCGCGTGGGGAAGAGGGAAGCGACTCCTGTTGAAATTTTCATATCGAAGATTTCTGGCCTTTCTTTAACAAGGACTGAATCCCACTTATTACTTCTCCTCCTGATGTCGTCGCTCCGGCACACCCACGCCTGTGTCATCGGGATCGCGAGGTCCGATCGGTAGATCAAACGGAACTGATGTCCCGCGGTGATTTAACGAGCGATTCCAAGAGGCGCGCAGCTCCGCCGTGCGAAATGTCAATGGGTAATAAAAGTCCAGGATGACAGCGCGATCTTCCGTCAGCTCCTGGCGAAATTCGAGCGAATCGCTCCGGTTGGTTCGAAGCGGAGAGTGTGAATGTGCTTTTGCGATACCGAAAACGGTTGCGCAATTCAGATCGTAATGCCGCGATATTTGTTAGCCGTGGGAGTGAACACGTATTCCCCGTGTAACCCGGAGGCTGTGCACACGCCCCGCGCTGCTTTTCATCAAGAATCGGGACCCCCGGGGCGACCGATCGCTAGATCTCGATTATCGATTGGATTATCGGACAATATTTGTGGAAGCGATCGACTCTCACGGATCGATCGCGGATCGATCATGGACCACTGGACCAGTGCAGCGTTACGGTTTTGTTACACAAAAGTCGGCAGACTGAGAATGTTGAGTTGGCAAAGAATAAAAAAGAAAAGAGTGACGAGACCTACGCCTATTCCGGATGCGATCGGATCGAGATGCCATTAATAACAACGCACTTACCGATCCCATGGCAGGTGGTAGCCTATATGAAAGTCACGACCTGACATTTGCCTGCGCCTGAGCCGGCGCAACGAGCCGATCGCGATACCATTTTTGCGCTTTGGGAAAATCGAGAGAACAATTTCAACTGTAACAGCGATACGGAGAATCGGTAGAGGATCAAGAGAGATCGACTTGGGCTTCCGTAGATTCGGTCCCAGTGAGTCACTTGCCGGGCAGATCGGCGAGGGAGGCGCGCGGACGGGAAGGAGAAGCGGCCGTAAACATGAAACAGAAGAAATAGGAAGGAGTCTCGAATGCAATTCTTTTAGGCACCGTGTGGGAGTGTGTATCGTCGCTCCACATAGATCTCCGATCTCTCTGACCTCCGAACGATCTTACAAGATCGGTCTCCACCTCTCTCGACGTACCTCCTTGGCATCCTCTCCCGCTTTATCCTTTCCAGTCGCGCCTAGTCATTCATTCTCATGGTGGACTAAGAACAATCGTTTCGTTTCACCGATACACACGGGGAGAGGATCGTGAGAGGATCGTGAGAGGGTCGTGAGAGGGAGAGAGAGAGAGAGAGAGGGAGAGAGAGAGAGAGAGAGAGAGAGAGAGAGAGAGAGAGAGAGAGAGAGAGAGAGAGAGAGAGAGAGAAGGAAAGACAGAACGAGAGTCCCTCGTCCACGCTGGGCGTGTACCATTGACTTTCATGTCGAAGGCAAATATCTGTAACGGGATAGCGCCGAGAGTGATCTCGTTTGAGAGCCCAGGTACTTGGAGTTGCGCAAGGAGCACGCGCTGTAATACCGATCACTGCCGATCCTTCTTGATTCCCGATCGAGGAGTACGTCTCAAGGTGGCCGATCAAACTCGTCTCTCGCGACCCGCTACAATCGGCAGGTGGAATATCGCGGAGTAAATTCGCGGAAGTCAGCCCAGCGGCGCATTCCATAAA